TGTAGGCTGCAGTCCTTGACCCTCTGCAGCAGGTGCTTGAGGTCCTCCTCAGTTTCAGCAAGCAGGGTAGTGTCACCTGCATAACGCCTATTGTTGGTAAATTGCCCACCAATCTTGTATATATAATCACTAATCTTTTTGTTGCTCAGAATTTATCTATCCTAGGTGTTTCACATAGTAAAGTAACTAAGTATTTGTCCTTTTGCCTGACTTATTTCCTTTTACATTATATTTTCAAGGTTTATCCATGTTGCATGCATCAGAATGCCATTCCTTTCCATGGCAGAACAGTAGTCTATGGTTTTACACACACACACACACACACACACACACACACACACACTCACTCTCATACCCATTTATCTTTTTAAAAATAATACTTTACTGTGGTTTTGGTGAAAGATTTAAACGGTAGTTTAAATTTCTATGCAACAATTTCTTAATTTAATTTTAAAATTTTTTTTTTAAATTTTTATGCAACAAGTTGTTTAGTGACATTTTGTACAACGTGTAAACATACTCATTATTTCTGTTCTGGTTGTTCCATTTTCATTAATTTCATTTCCCCACCATTTTATATTCTCATCTTTGCTTTTGTAAAGATGAGAACTGTTTACATTACACAGGCAATTTTTAAAACACATTCAATGTTTACATCTGATATTCTTTTATTTTTAACCAATTCATCTATTATTTACAAAGGTGAAAACACAGGGGCTAATTTTGGTTCATGGCCTGAAGAGTATCCCAGAGCAATAGTCTAGTTTTAATCAGTTCAACAGGTTTGTTTTATTTACTTTTGGAAATCTGCAGTTCTATTTCACATTTTTCTACCATTTTATCAAGGTCCAAATATTATGGCCTGATAAGTTTGATAGCAGTGGTGAGCACGATCTAGTTCTTCTGCTGTCAGAGGAGATGAGGGTATGGTTTGTGTAGATTATCTGTCTTGTAGTTTAGTTTCTTCTTTGAATCTCTGATATCTTTCTCTTGCTCTGAAAAGTAATGATCAAAAGTTGGATGGCTGACAGACACAGGAAGAAATGCTCCAGATCACTGGCAATAAGAAGTGATGCCATCTCACCCCAGTGGCAAAGTTTAATATGATCGCAAGTAATAAATGTTGGAGAGGATGTGGTGAGATAGGAACACTTACACACTGTTG